GTACACTTAATTGTTAATCTGTTTTAACTTATAAATAATACTTTTAGCCAGGGCATCATAAGAAGCAAGAGTTTCCGGCTTATTAATGAGGCTCGTCAAATTATAAGGGGAGTCAATCTCATGCAGGCGACACGTTTGCTCGTGCTCATGCCAGGCTCTTCCAAATATGGCGCACCTACTGAGCATCTACTGTTTGCTCGCTATCTCCATCACACGGACAACTTGCATTGTCGAGAACCAACCGTTTCGCATCATCTTTCCTTATTCGAGCAGCTAAGTGGATCTCTCTACCCGCGTCTATTTTTCCTGCCTCTTACAACATTGGGTCTTTCAAGTCAAGAGTGAAGACACTATTTGAGCTTGCGTGTAACAGCTCAGACTACATCATCACTTAACATCAGGTAAGATTGCGGTCAAACGCGATCAAATTTTAATATAAAAAAAAAATCACTCAGACCCAGACAGACCGTCGTCCAAAACTAAGCAGACCTTCGTTTTTAACCTAACACACCGACGAACATTTTTACATATATATATTAACTTACAGACTGTCGAATTGACTCCCCTACTTCTCTCATTTGGTCATTGGGCTCCATAAAGTATGGTCGAGCGCAGTGATGGCTGGCTCATCCGTCACACTCGTGTACGAGTGCTGCTTGTAGGGACTGGTCTGCTCTAATCACAGCGACTGATTTACTCTTATTTAGTTGCTTAACCAGTTGTTTGTATATTTAATATTGTCTCTATTTGATGATTAATTCAATTAGTGCTAATTGGTAGTTTGTATTCACACACTTCAACTTAAAATGTAAAGTAACAATAAAATTATTTAAAAGAGCAACACGCAAGTTTCTTGCTCGTTCTTCTTGTGATGATACAGCTTTCCGTATGAGTGGTAGATTAAAAAAAATGTCAAACATTTTGATTTGTAATCGGCATTTCCATCAGTTGGTTTTTAGCTCGAAATATAATTTTGATTGTTGCGAGGTTCAAACCCCCGACCATTGGTAATTTATGCAGTATACTAAACCACTGCACCGCTGAGGTCTTCGCATTGTTTCAGATGACATCTAATGTCATTCTGTGAGCCGTACGATGACCGTATAAGGTCATATTACATTGTAGCGGCCGGTCAGAGCATCCTTATCGTTGGTACGTAGGTATGTGTATACCTACTAAACAAAAATGACTTTAAATTGTGTTATATATCTATACATATAATAAAATATATATGTTACATATGAATGTGTATGGTTATAAGGGCAGAGGAAGGCCGAAAAAGATATAATAATAATAATAATAATAATCTCAAGACAATTCACATAGCGCCATCTAGATCCAAGTTAACCTGGCTGAAGCTTGTGTTATGGGTACTATATATCTCTACTAATACATACAAATACTTTGTTTCGTAAATACATACATATTATACATAGGAAACACCCAGACCGATACAAACATGGTCATGAATACAAATGTTTGTGTGGTGCGAGCAATCGAACCCGCAACCATCGGACGTAAAGCGGTGTGCTAGACAGACCATCGAGGTCGGCAAGAGATGGATGGACTGTGTAAAAAATGATATGGTAAGAAAAGGAGTAAATAACGAGATGACTGCGAACAGAGATGAATGGAAGAGAAAAACATATTACGACGACCAACAAGTAAATGAGATAAGGAAGAAGCAGATGATGATATCAATAATAAAACATTTGAGGTCGAATTTCTGTACATCGTAAAATACGCCAATAACCGAGTCAGAGGGATGTTAGAAGTGATACAGAACACATTTAGATTTTTTTCAAATTTATTCTCTGTTTGTTTGTACAGGCTAATATCCGAAACAGCTGGATCGATTTAAAAGAAATTTTGTATGGAGGTACCTCCCATCCCCGGACAACGAAATGCTTTGTTGGGCAGGTGAAGTTACATTTAGGGATAATGTTCAAAACGAGCATGTAGCATGAGGCAGTTTTGGAGTGATAGCCATTACCGAAAAGAAGATTATACACTTAGTTGGTATGGACATATTCTGCGTAAACCTGAAAACCACTTTGTAAATAAGTGCCTTTCCATTGCTATAATAAAAAGAGGACGAGGTAGGCCACCAACTGGTTGACTAATGTCCATAGGGACATGAAAGAGTTGGGCCTGTCAAATGACGATGCTTACCAGCGAAATGTATGGCGCCTCAAGATTAGGAATGCCAACCTCGTAACGGGAAGAGGCGAGGATGAAGAAGAAAATAGTCTTGACCCTAAGAAAGGAAAGGAATGCGAAAAGAAGGTTGAAAGTGGAGATGAAAGCTAAGGAAGTATCTGTTGTAGCATGTAACCTCAATGGTTTATAATATTTTGACGTCGATCGTCACTCTACTTCTTGTATTACAATTTTACAAATGTCTACCAACACGTGTTGTTTTGTTTAATAATATTTTTCTCCAATATGGCAGCAGAGCGTTAGATACAACAAATTTTAAGTCAATATACGTTTCTGGTGATTCTGAGTTTTTTAAACCTCTTAAGGGCGTAAAATAAAATTGCGGATGAAAGTTTGTCTGAAAATTCATCAATTTTGAAGCGAACCATGAACGATGGAACTTATATCTTTGGCTGTTTTAGATTAAATTATTGAATATTTTTTCTTTATTTAATCAAGGCCATTATTCCACGCGGACAAAGTCGCAGGCACAGCAATTGTAAGAATAAAAATAAACGCGGTAGCTGAAAATAGAACGTGCATGGGAACCCTTAATACTGCAAATTAATAGGTGGATTGTACTTTGCCCCGGCGGACAGTTGTCACTTTGGACTTGGTGTCAAAGTCCAAGTGGCTAGGGCTGCCAACTATTACCACAGATAACATAATATTACATTTACTATTAATATTATTATTACATTGCAATTTAGAAATTTTATTACATTTGACTTCGAACATTTTACTTCCAATTATGAATTGTATAGATTTTAAAAACATCTATTAAAAAGAGCAACACACAGTTTCTTGGTCATTCTTCTTGTGATGAATCTGCATTCCGAATGAGTGGTAGAATCAAAATATGACTATTCAAAAGTGCTTGTAATGAGTTTATTTGAATTAAGATTATTTCTATTTCTATTTATAATTATATTTTTTTTTGACGGCCTCGGTCTAGCAGTTTTGCACATCGCTACAGTTCCAATGGTCGCGGGTTCGATTCCTCACACGGTAGAAACATGTATTTATGAGTATGTTTGTTCGTATTGGTCTAGGTGTTTTCTCAAAATAAAATCTATCTGTGTATTTATGTCAGTTGTCTAGTACCCATAACACAAGCTCTGGTTTACCTTGAGTCTAGGGGACGTGGGCATGGTCTAGGGGTATTATTATTATTATTATTAGACATAGAATTTGAAAAATCTTCATTCTAATAAAAATAACAAAATCTAAAATCACAGTACCCACTTAGGCTACTATTATTTTAGACTATTTAGACTCCTTCTAACATTAGTTAAATGTGAACACAAGTGAAAGTGCCGTCAACATCGGTTTCAGAGATTAACAAGAACAAATAGACAGACAAAAAATTATATTGATATAGTTGCGAGTTGAATCTAGTATATACGATAGCGGCAACCCTACCCGAGACATTGAATGGAGAATGTACTAGGGAAGCCACACGACCGCTGATTGTTCAGGACACGCGGCTGACACGTGGACCTAATATTTATGACATCTTATCTGCTGGTCATTGCAGTTTGAAGGTTATGAATTTCTGTATAAAAGCGTCTACATACTACATCTATTACTACAGGTACAATAACGGGACACTGTCCCTTAAATAAACACCTGTACACTATAGGTGCTACCAACAGTCCCCTTTGTCGGAGCTTTGAAGCTCTGCTCCCGAATCCTGAGCCACACAACGAAGAAACGCTCCGCACCAGGTGCTCTGCGCTTTTGGGAAATCTCGGCTCTACTAATTGCAAAATGGACCAACCTACATTTACTACATCTATTACAGATATGTCAAAATCTACCGTCAGTTCGGATTGCTTTCGAGCTGATAAAAACTGACATGAAACTCCAGCTCTTATTCCTTTTTTAATAAGTTTGTACATGTTTACAAAATAAAGAATCATATTTAAATTCAAATTTGAGAGAATAGAGTAGCCACCATCATATGCTATAGCTATTTTGTCAAAAATAAATAGTCTAAAAATGCTTGAGAAACACGCATGGATGTCCCAGACCACTTTTTAATGCTTTCAAGTCCCAACCTTAACATGAAACTCTGCTCTTAAATATACAAATATTTATAAAATTAAAATCACAGTTAATTGTCTCATTAAGAATATTTAAAAATAATACAAAATTCATTTAAATCTACAAAACATATAATGAAAAATCGAAAATCACATTCCAATAAAGAGTCCATTTTCGAAGTGTAGGCCATGATTCTACGTTGGGAAATACAGGTCTAATTAGTGTCCGTAACCGGAACAGACCAGTACCAACAAGCAGCACCCGTTCACGAGTATGACCGATAGAATTGAATGAAAGTGACATAAATATTCAAAACTATGAAGCAACTACAACATTTACTGAAAGGGAACGCTAAACTGGCTTACGTCACAGATAAACAATAATACAATATAAAACAATAACAAATAAACTTTCACGGATACCAATATTTGCGAAGAGTAAAACAACTTCATATTGTCTAACAAGTGTAGTTTATAATGTACACACAGGTAACTATTTCAGTCAGTAGTTGTTTGAACTGAGATAAAAAGACTGGAGAAATACTGAAAAGTGTTTGCACTGTGCTTGCCTACTGATTCTATTGTAAACTTCAGAGTAATCTCCCAAGAATCCATATATAATATACCATAATTTACTTATGAAGTTAGTTTGGTAGTTGATCATGGTACGGCGGGAGTTTCGTAGACAAATGGACAGAAATAGTCCAAAAATTAATATTAATTAGTGATATTATTGGATTGTTAACGGTTTAGAAGATGGTGTTGTCAAAGACAGATGCGGAGGCCCCGGCAGCTAAGGAGGAGATTCCTCATGACCATCTTTTCAAAGTTACCGGATTGTCGTCGACAAATTTAGAGAAGTTGGCTCAAGGTACGTACATTTATATTAGTATCTAAGTAAATTTTGAAATTATATCTGGTTAAGATATAGAGATTTTTAAAGATGATGGAATAATTCTCAAAACCTTGGTAATGGTATACGCTGCTAGGACATCAATAGAAGATGATTGAGTGAGGACAAAGTCACTTGACAAAGTCACTTAGAATATACTAGAAAAAAACTAGTATGATTTCTAAAGAGGCACGTGTGGATGTTGATCTGTAAAGATGTCCTTCATCATTACAGAACTATTCCCAACAATCCGCTTCCCTCTCAAGTAATGTAGATTTAAGCACACATATTTGCTGCTTTTCTATTAGTTCTATAATTTATCTGGTTTTTACGTACGAGTTCTCACTCCCAAATAGTAAAGAACTTTGAATCAATTTTTGATATTAATTAATATTAATTTACGTCTGTATGTCTATAGGTACCGTATATTTGTTAATGTTATGCTTCTCAAATTCAATTTTTTTTAAGCTACTACCAGTCTTTCCCAATTCAATTCAACTGATTTTATTTAATCATATTTTCAAACGTTATTCAAAAGTGCATGGACTTACTAAAATATTTGAATTTTATATACTGTTTTCCGCCATCTTAGTGTTCAACATTTGCAATTAATATAATTTATAAGTGCTGTATTTATAGTCGTTAGTTTTTCAACAAAATAAAAAACACAATTTTAGATTCAACTGCATTGTACTTAACAACAACTGATATGATAGATGTCCTAAATGTATCAATTATTGTGACTTTGACTTTGAAAATGATTTCATATTCAATTGTATTTGTATTTTAAGATATTTTTGTACGCTTGTATGTTACTCTTCTTTCCACAAGATTTTGTAGATTATTTTTGCAATCAATAAATGTTACTCCTTGTAAATCTAATAACTGACATAATTAAATATCTTTCTGTACATCAAAAATACTAAAACCTACTTTGGTGTTGTATCTTAATAAAACTGGAATTGTGTAATTTGTGGAGCTGAAATAAAATGAAATAAATTTATCTGCGAGTGTAATGAGATAGTTTCAAAAGACATCGCCGAAGAATCTACAGATGTTATTCGTCAAAATTACACCAAAAATATCCCAATACCTGTTACAAAGTAAGAGATTATTAAACAAAATACGCCTCAAACTGGTCTAGTTTACGTTAGCATTGGAATAATGCCAAGTGTGAAACCAGCCGCCCATCGACGTATTTACTGTGAAATGTCACAGTACAGTTTATGGCGGTTTAAAATTTTATGTTTGGAGCTGAATAAATATTTATTTAGAGAATAGAAAAGCACGTCCATAGTCACGAATGGTTGTTCAAATTTTCCAGGATATTAATTTGTTTTATTGTTACGAAAAAAAATTGTAAAATTGATCATTAATTGATCAGTCTCACCTATTTCTGCAGTCAGCAGCTTGTTTTGTAACATGTATTTCGTTTTATTTTTTGTTGTGTTTTGTTTTTTGCTGTTGTTTTTGTTGGTTGCCAGATTAGGCAGTGAAATTACACGGCATCTTAGTTCTACCTGATGATAACGAATGGATGGTATCGCAAATATACATTAACTACGTTCAAATGTATTTTTAGATGCAGAAACAGCAGATTTCGAGACGGCCATTGCGGCTACAGGATACGGCAAGTTCAATGTGTACCTGATGCTGTGCACCTTACCTGCCTTCTGCAGCGCCGTGTCTGTTACCAGCTCGGTGTCATACATCTTCACACAGGCACAGTGTGACATGCAGCTCAGTCTACTGGACATGGGGACACTGAACGCCATCACATATGGAGGTAATAATAATAATAATAGCCTTGTAAATTGGTGGTTTGTATTCACACACTTAAACTTAAAAATGTAAAGTAATAATAAAATTATTTAAAAGAGCAACACGCAAGTAATAATAATAATAAGTTTATTTGAATAAATGATTTTCTATCCTATTCTATTCTATTTCTGGACAACTCATACGTTTCACGTAGTTAGTCGCATGTTCGATTCCTCGAATCGTGTTTACTATGTTACACAAGCTCTGCTTAGCTTGGGATTATATAATAATACGTTATAATTAACACAGCGTCATCTAGTCCCAAGTTAAGCAGAGCTTGTGTTCTGTATACTACACAAGTGGTACAAATACTTAGATATTTATTTTTTGTAGATACATAGAAAACACTCAGACCGGTACAAACAATCATATTCAAGAATACTAATATTTGCATTACGCAAGCAATGTAACCCGCGACCATCGGAAGTAAGGTGGTGTGCTAAACCGCTAGACTACAGAGGCTGTCCAACAATTATATGACAACAAAAGACTGTAAAGACTCATGAAAAGTAATTTTTTATGAGACTAAAAAGTCTGTATCACTTACTTTACCTACCAAAGTTACTAAACTGTGTCTGAATTTCTTTAAAATAGAAAATACTTTATTCAAACAAACTTAAATTTAAGCATTTTTGAATAGTCACATTTATTCTTTTTAATCTTTTTTTATACAATTGTGGTAAACTGAAATCAGCTGAAATAATCTGAAAATCAGCGCTGTAGTGACACGCTGCGGCACCAGCTGAGTGGAAGCCTTTTCAGCATAGCGAATTATTAGTTTTTAAGTTTTCTTTTTTACTCTGTACTCTTTTTTATGCTGAATAAATGATTATTATTATTATTATTATTAAACAAGCATACGGCTCATCTTATGGTAAATGGTTACCGTAGCCTATGGACGCCTGAAACAACAGAGGTCTTACGTGCGCGTTGTCGTTGCCCTTAAGAAACCTTAATATACCCTTCTTGAAAAACCCCATGCTGTAGTCTCGTGAGAAAACCGCGGCAGGAAGTTCCTCTACTTAATCTATATCTCATTCGGAAAGCTGTCTCATCACAAGGAGAATGAGCAATAAATTTGCTTGTTGCTCTACACTCGGTTATATTTCATCATAATTTCTATTTCTTTGCAATATTATTAGTAATTATTAACACTATTACTTACAAAGAATAACTTGTCGTTAAAACACGAAAACACCTAATTTATAACGGTTTATTTAATATTCAAATTCCTCCTAGTCTAATATTTGTATACAAACTGAGTAAAATGAGATCATACATGCGTACATTTATATGATAATATTGATTCAATACTAGGTTATTATAATATAATAACTGGCAGAAAGAAACTGAATAAGCGTGGCCTAGGTTCTTGCCTTGGGGAAGGCCTGGACTGAATATGGGTGGCCCAAGATTGTGCCTTGAGGAAGGCCTATCCCCAGTCAGGCAATATGGTAATAATAATTATACTTAGTTCAATTTCCAATACAGATTGAACTGGAAGGTTTTTTTCAGACTACTCTAATACTGTTTGCCTGCAGTTGGCCTTTACAGCTTCACAGGACGATAAGGAGCGAGTGCAGATGGCACTATAAATCCGCGGAAGAACTTATGAAGCGGCTGAAGGCCAACTCCCGCCTGACGGATATGACTTTAGTCTGCACAGCTAGGGGTTCGAACCTCGTCTCAGGCCGTCGTAACTTCGAACGGGATTGTTAGAGTTGTGCAGGCCTAGTCAACGGAGAGTCCAGTCAAACGAGTTACAAACATGAGAATTATGTATAAACTAGCTTTTCCTCGCGGCTTCGCTCGCGTTAATTTATCCCTTTAGGGGTGGAATTTATCAAAATCCTTTCTTCCTCTTCTTAATGCAAGCAAAGTCTCAGCCAGATTGGTTTAAAATTGATGAAGTTTCATATAAACTTTCATCCCCTATTTTATCTCCTTGGGGTAGAATTGATCAAAATCCTTTCTTAGCGGATGCCTACGTCATATCATCTACCTGAATGCCAAATTTCAGCTCGATCCGTCCAGTGGTTTGGGCTGTGCGTTGATAGATCACTACGTCAGTCACCTTTGAGTTATATATATTTAGATGTATAAAAAATATTCCTTGAAAAAAATTCTGATTACCTATCAAATATATCAGCAAATTTAATTACAATGAGCCTATTTATAATTACGTCATATAGCAATAAGATCGTTTAATTGTTTCACGATGACTTTGTTGAAAGTCAATATAATAGCGTAATTTTCAGATGTAAATATTGATTATACAAACATTCTGTATTGTTTAGCGAATGCGTGAAATTTACATAGTATCATAGTTATTTACGGTTTGTTTGATACTCATACATGTCTTTTAATTAAACGAGACAATATTGTTATCAAAAATATTTCTCGTACCATTGGCAAATAATGTTATGCCCCACATGATAGAAAATGGTGATCATTGCTTATAGACATGAACACGAACATAGAATGTACATATTATATGTATTGATGTGCTCCCTCTAATATGACTTAGTATAATGATTGTAAGATATATCAACTCTATGTACTAATAATAAAATAACAACTATATAACATTAATTTAACTATGTCTCTAACAAAATTCACTTTAGCATTTAAAATATAACCAGTACATCCTGTGCTCAAACACCGAATGCCGCGGCTTACAAAAACCTTCCCTTTTATACAGAGAAGATATGAGTGGGGGTTATACGAAACTAGTTTAACATACCGAGTAATAATGAAACTACCTTCTTTTAATATTAAATATTTGTACTTATTTTTGGTAAATTTGTATTATTATTTTATTTTTATATTATATTGACATCCATAAAATTGTTATATGGGGCCTGACCAAAATAGATTTATATATAAATCAAATTAAGTCAAACAAAAATGCAAAAATTAACTTAATAAGAGCACGGACTTTGTGTCTGTGGTTAATAATAAAAAAACAAAAAAAAAATATTAAATATCAGATTTTTCGACAATTTCGATCTGAACCCTAACATGATGACTGGCTCATCCGTCATACTCGTAAACGGCTGCTGCTATCAATAAATATTAGGTGATTCACATCGGATATGATAATAAAAATATGCCTATGTCCAGCAGTGGACGTCTTCCGGGCTGCGATGATGATGATGATGATATTAAAAATCATTGTCATTTTATGAAGAATTTATATAGTATAAATAATATTAGTGGATGCCCAGTGGAAGTTTGACTATAATTGAAACAGTCATGCTCGCTATAAAGTTCAAACTTGTGGCGGCGTGGTGGGCTGGGTCGATGTGCTCCCTCTAATATGGTTGAGTGCAATGATGACTGGCTCATCCTCGTGAACGGGTGCTACTTGGACTTGAACACTGATTAGACTTTTTGCTTTTGCAATAGCATATGTGTCACTCCTAAATTTGAATGAATCTGTATTATTGTAAACATGTACAACATTTATTTGAAAAGAATACGAGCTGAGTTTCTTGTCAGTTCTCATCTCGAAATCATTCCGAACTGACGGTAGATTTGACATATCATAAGAGTCTGTAATAGACCTACATGAATAAAGATATTTTGATTTTTTTGGAAATCTTACTAATATTATAAACACGAAAGTTTGTAAGCATTGATGTTTGTCACACAAAAACTATTGAACTGAATTTGATAAAACTTTATAGTAATATAGTTTATGCATCAGAATAACACATGCTATATTTTATATTTTATATTGGGACTGGTCTGTTCAGGTTGTGAACACTGATTAAATTTTTTGTTCTTTGCGATATCATATGCTGGTGGTCACTCTATTCTCGCAAATTTGAATTTTAATGACTGTGTATTATTATAAACATGTTCCACTATTATTTGAAAAAATACGAGCTGAATTTCTTGTCAGTTCTTCTCATCTCGATATCATTCCGAACTGACGGTAGATTTGACATATCATAAGAGTCTGTAATAGACCTACATGAATAAAGATATTTTGAATTGGAATTTGAATTGAAATTTAACGCGAGTGAAACCGCGGGTACACAGCTAGTACCTATAATAAAACTTAAAACAAATGGTTTCCAGGTATGATCTCATCAGCTTTGGTATGGGGCTTTCTATCAGACACCCTGGGCCGGCGGAGGATCATGGTGTGGGGGTTTTTGTTCACTGGCATCCTGGAAATGTGCGTTGGCATCAGCCAAAACTTCATCATGCTACTCCTGACCAGGTTCTTCAGTGGTTTCTTGTGAGTATTTATATTACACTAACTGTGGAGCGTGGCTTCGTCTAACGATAGTTGAGATATTACAATGAACTTGGACAATTCACAGAGTGCCATCCAATCCCAAGTTATCAGAGCTTGTGTTATGAGTACTAGTCAACTGATATAAATACTTACACATTTGTTTTTGTATATGTAATATGGATAGAAAACATCCAGACCGATACAAACAATCATACTCATGAATACAAATGTTTGTACTGTATGAAGAATAGGACCTGAGATTATCAAAGACTTTTGAATAGTTATAATAATAATAATAAGAGTGTGTTTATTATGGCATCAATGACCCATTTGTGAAAGTGTGTGTGTAAGTAATTTTAAATCTAATGTTAGTATTTTTTTTTATTTTATTATCCTTACTAATATTACAAATGTGAAAGTAGGGTTGTTTGTTATGCTTTCACGCAAAAACTACTGAAACGATCATCATGAACTTGTGTACAATACCTCCAGAACATGTCTACGAAATACACATGTTCTGGAGGTATTTAAATTTAGAATGAACATAAGATACTTTTTATTAAAAAAAAAAACAAATATTTATTATAAAAATAAAATAAAATAATATCAACAATTTGCCACTTCAACTCCATTTAGCAGCCAGTAATGAAGTTAATTAATGGATTCAATGCAGACGAAGCCGCGGTTAAAAGCTATTTTGAGAATGAGAAAGAAACTTTCATATTGTTATTTTAAATAAGTGTTCTTTATTATTACATTTTTAAGAACATCCTAAGTAGACCAGGACCAGGACCAGACCAGGTTTTAGAGGAGCTTCCTCCCACGTACGCTTATGTCGAGGCCAGGCCCCATGTTGTAGGCTCGCAAAATAACCTGCCGAGGTTTTCTCACGAGACTACAGCATGGGAATTTTTAAGAAGGGTAAATAAAGATTTCTTAAGAGTTGGCAACGCGCACGTGACTACTGTGTTACACGATAATCGTACCTTTCAGTTTCAACGGCCCATTCGCAGTCCTCATCTCGTACCTGGCGGAGCTCCACCGCACCGAGTTAAGGGCTAAGGTGATCCTCCTCACCAGTTTGTTTTATACGATCGCCAACACGGCCCTGCCGCTGCTGGCCTGGGCTATACTCACCAAGGATTGGCACTTCTACATTTTTGGGACTAGTTTTGGTGAGTATAAACATTTTAACTGATTGATATGAAATAAAGATTAACAACTGGAAATAGAAATCTATTCAAATAAACTTAATGTAAGCACTTTTGAATAGTCACATTATAGGCATGTTATGCGGAGGAACGAGAACCATGTATTATGGAAAGTGTATATGACTGTGGATGGTTGTAAAGGGAGGGGACGCCCTAAGAAAATATGGATGGATTGTGTGAAAAATGATGTGAATAAAAGAAGAGTATGCTCAGATATGGCGGCCGATAGAGAGCAGTGGAAGAGAATGACATACTACACCGACCACAAATAATAGGATAAAGGCAATGATGATGATATTTGTTTTATTTTTCCAAGCAGCGGATCATGTATTGTGGGGCCCTGGGCTAAATCTGCTTAGGTGCCTACCTAATTATATTACTCAACTAAAAAAATACACCGACCAAAAACAAGCGACCAGAAATTCTCCGTTCCTTTCTATAGACTCGCGCTTACATGGGTTGATTTATGAGAGTTTTTTACCATTCTAGATATTTTGTATATTCTAAATATCATTTTATTGGTGACTGGCCCTTTGTATCTTCGGGCTCCCTGGGCTGCAGCGCAAAAAGTCCTTAGGTAGATCCGCCCCTGATTCTACCTCTCATTCGGACCGCATACTCATCACAAGAAGAATGAGCAAGAAACTTGTGTGTCGATCTTTTATTTAATTTTAAATAAATGTTGTTTTAAGTAGATTTACATTAATAAGGATTCAGTATACCACAATCTACATAGAAACCGCCACGCACTCGATTTTTGGAGAATAGGGGATTATTAGTAAGAGAAGAATCTTCTCATTACAAGTCAGGTCCCCTGAAACCATCCTGATCAATTCTGCATGATAAGTAACTGATCGAACTTCATGCTGATCTTATCGTAGTCCACTGTGGCTAATACCTCTAACAACCCCATCTAGTTTAATTGTCGTGAAGATATTTATTTGTAACTGCGTTTGTATATGTAGCTAAGTTAAAATTGAAACACGGCAAAAATTTATAAAATATAATAATAGTAATAACCCCAGGACAATTCACATAGCGCCATCTAGTCTGCAGCTAAGCAGAGCTGTGTACTGGTACCCATAAGACAACCTGTACTTAGAATACAACTGATATAATATTTAGCATACTTATATATCTTTTTCTAAATGCATACATAACATAGAAAACACCCAGACAAACAAATGTTGAATTGAACCCACGACCATCGGAAGTAAAGCCGCGTGCTAAACCACAAAACTACCAGGTTTCTCTGTCGAAACTGTAACAAAAACCAAATAATTTATGGCATTGGAGAAATCATAATCTTTATTAACAGTAATCCATGCTTGGAACCTGTTCCTCCTGGCGACGGCCTTGATTCCGCTGATCACTGGCCTGGTCTTCTTCTGCATGCCAGAGAGCCCCAAGTTTTTAATGTCAAGAGGAAGAAACGCAGAAGCAATGCAGATCTTCAAAAGAATATACGCTATGAACACTGGGAAGCCAATGGAAGACTATCCTGTAAGTAGAATAGAAGTAGAATAGAATATAATTGTATTGACTCGTTGTGTTGTGTCAAGGAAAATAATAATGACTGAATGAATATAATTGAAATAAAGAATATTTCAATCTTAACTAGATTAAATTATTTTCAGATAAAATTGTTAGTTGAGGAGAAGTCTGAACAGCAGGCTGAGGGGCTGGCGGCGCTGCGAGGTGGCTGGTCGCAGCTGGCACCTCTGTTCCGCCCTCCGCACCTCAAATGGCTGATGCTTATCTGCGTCATACACGTCTGTTGTATGTTTGGGTACGTTGGTGTATAATGTAGTAAATGAAAATGTCCTGGACAGTTTCCACTTACGCCGCTAGAGGACGTTACTATGCTATTAAGATTTTTTTGTGCTCTGAGTCAAACGAAATGTTTGTATTTGCGATTCGATTCCATCAGGTCCTGTAGCAATCAGTTCTAGTAAAGAATATATCAACCACCTGTACTTATATTTAGTACATCTTGATTCTAGAGATGTGCTAACTCGCAACAAACATAATTCGAGTTAACTCGAGTTGAAGATCAGATGGCTCGAGTTAGATGGTATAAAGATTTTTTTTTTAATTTTTCGAACAAATCTAATGTTTTTGGCCGCAGCTAACCTTGAAAGCTTCACCGAACTATAGAGAGTTATGCCATTCACGAGTATGACAATGTAAATAGATAACGATGTTACAAAATATGGGTTGGTGGTGGAGGCGTGAAAACTTAGGAGTTTATTTATTTATTTTTATTTATTTATATACTCTTTATTGCACCAGGAAAAATTACATTAATAGAGTAATTAAAATAAAAGGGTACAAAAGGCGCTATGCTATCGCTTATGCAATCTCTTCCAGGCAACCTTTGGGTAGAGGAGAAAAAAAACAAAAGGTGGTAGGTGGCACTAGAATAGGAGAGAGAAAAAAAAAAACATAATAATAATAATGACAAATGAATAATAATGAATAACATAACATATTACATATATAAACAGTATACATCAATATTAATATTATATATATATATATAAATATATATATACATACATACATACATACATAACAACATGCAACAAATAGATACAACACAACACAAAATAATGCAAGCAGCAAGTAACTGTGATACACGCATAGGAATAATACCTACTAGTAATATAACAATGATGACGACAGAAAAGAAACATTATAAGGAAAGATAATGTGATTTGACCGAGTTCTTAAAGCTGGGTAGTGATCGTGAGCTACGTATGGAGGAAGGTAATGAGTTCCATAGTCGAACGGCATGTACCGAAAAGGATTTGGTGTAGAATGAGGATGTGTGGGAAGGGATTTTGAGACGGAGGTTTGTTGCACTGCGTAAGCCATGATGTTGAGTTTATGTATTTCTTGGTTATTTCCAATGCTTGTCCATACAGGTCCAATACAATAAGATTGTGGTACCCTCAACTAGCTTCTATGATTGACTCGGGGAGCAACGAGGGGTTGTGCTCGGCCATCGCTCCGGATACCAACCCTGCTCCTGACGTACTGTGCCAGCCGATACAAACAGATATGTTAACATACCTCCAGAGTGCAGTAGTGGGCGCTGGCTCTGTTATTACGTATGGTATTGGAGGTCTGCTGATTAATAGGTAGGTACATATAATACTAGCTACTCGCCCTGGCTTCGCCCGGATGTACATGTATTATACATATAAACCTTCCTCTTGAGTCACTCTATCTATTAAAAAAAACCGCTTCAAAATCCGTTGCGTAGTTCTAAAGATTTAAGCATACATAGGGACAGACAGACAGTGACATTGTTTTATACTATGTAATGAAGGGGCCGTTAAGATATTACGTAAGCAGATTTATTACAATTATTTAACCCCCATTTTTCAATTAATGTATTGTTTTTTAGCAAAGACAATATGAGGGTTGCCATTTTCTACAGATGACGTAATCATCATCTATACTCGCTCACCCCCATGTCACCCAAAATAAGCAATCCAAAATAAGAACGTCAAGTTTTTAATGTTATAATTTTAATTTTTTTCCCTACCGTCCAGTTACGTATATAGATCTAATTGAGAAGAACTGGCAAGAAACTCAATTGAATTACTGTTTTTTTTAAAAGCAAATGTAGTCACAATGTATAGGTATTTATATAGGTGTCTATGTCTAACATTAAATGAAAATCCCGTGCATGAATAACTATTACCATGCACGCTCGTAATTCAAGTAATCGTTTAGTGAGGCTTTGCTCACTAAATATGATTTAACAGATGTTTTGAATTTATTTAAGGGTAATTCCAATATATAATTTATTTATTATTATTCCTTTCTTCATTACAGATGCGGCAAGAGATTTGTCGCTGGCATCTGTAGTTTGTTAAGTGCAGCTATATTGGTTATGCTACCTTTGTGGGGTACCGGAGCTTTCTCTGTGGTTGCTATGGTGACCATTGCGCTAGCATTCACCTCGCTTGGTGGCGCAACTCTGTCTAGCATCTGTGTAGACCTATTTCCTACCTCGCTAAGGTAAGTTACCATCATCATCAAGTTTAGTATTGAATAAAAGAAGAAAATTATTAAGTGCATTTCAAGTTCGCAACACGCAAGTTTCTTGCTCGTTCTTCTTGTGATGAGTCTGCGTTCCGGATGAGTGGTAGAAAAAAAAACTCTTTATTGCGCACACACAAACAAAGAACAATAATTTTTACAAAATTTCTTTTTGAATGTTTTTTTTCATTTGCCGACCAATTTTTTATATTGCGTCAAAACTGGTCACATCATGTTCAATTTAAAATTTTACTGGTCTACCTAGTAAATTTATGCATGTAAAGTCTCAGCCCGATCGGTTTGAAATTGACAAAGTTTCATATAAACTTTCATCCCCTATTTTATCCCCTTGGGGGTAGAATTAATCAAAATCCTTTCTTAGCGGATGCCTACGTCATAACATCTATCTGCATGCCAAATTTCAGCCCGATCCGTCCAGTGGTTTGGGCTGTGCGTTGATAGATCACTATGTCAGTTACTTTTGAGTTATATATATATATATATAGATCTTTATATCCCAGGCTATCTTTATATTAGCCTGGGATATAAAGATACTCATGAATACAATTGCATCGTGCGAGGTATAGAACTTGTGACCATGGGAAGTAAGGCGGTGTGTCATAAACATGTCATCACTTACAGAGTGATGGCAATGGCAACATATCTGATGAGCGGCCGGCTGGGCACTATCAGCGGGACCATAGCCTTCCCGGCACTCGTAGAGTATGGCTGTCTCCCACCGTTTCTCACTATAGCTGCTGTCCTTGCAGGTAAGTCACTTTTGATAGTCTTACGGTTGATAATGGAATGGTGCACCCATTAGGTCCGGTCAGTTAGGCCATCGTCGCAAATTCACCAGGAATTTATCATGATGGTTACCAGGGGGAACCGCGTGGAGGTCAACATACAGTACATTGCAATGGAGTCAACAAACTACATTACTAACAATCCCCTTTCTCCCTAAATTATTTTATTAATATGATATTATTTAGGACTAGCTTTTGCCCGCGGCTTCGTTCTCGTTAATTTATCCTCTTAAGGGTGGAATTCATCAAAATCCTTTCTTAGGGGTTGCCTACGTCATAGTAGCTTTATGCATGCAAAGTCTCAGCCCGATCGGTTTGAAATTGACAAAGTTTCATACAAACTTTCATCCCCTATTTTATCCACTTGGGGGTAGAATTAATCAAAATCCTTTCTTAGCGGATGCCTACGTCATAACATCTACCTGCATGCCAAATTTCAGCCCGATCCGTCCAGTGGTTTGGGTTATGCGTTGATAGATCACTATGTCAGTCACCTTTGAATTATATATATTTAGATTCAGTACAGAATAATGAGACACATGAATATGTAACAAAGATACTCGAATAGTACGGTATTAATATCTATTAGTCAAACTTTTCACTAATAGAACATTTCTATTAAGTAGAACATATAACATGTAACCCCATCTAGTATTAAAATGTATTAACAGAGAACAAAAGTTAAATAGCGCCATCTGTAATAAGAAATTGAAACTACGTACACTTATTTTTACAAAAAATATAAGCCTGTGTTTCTAGATGGCGCTGTTAAAATTTATGCCCTGCTAGCACATACTGCAAGCGCAGATGTCTGGTTTAATTCCCATATTTAATTACAAGTGTATTTAATTACATGACGGCCTCGGTGGTCTAGCGGTTTACCACACCGCTTTACGTCCGATGGTCGCGGGTTCGATTCCTCGCACGGCACAAACATTTGTATTCATGAGTATGATTGTTTGTATCGGTCTGGGTATTTTCTATGTATAATATGTATGTATTTACGAAAAAAAAAACTATGTATTTGTATCAGTTGTCTAGTACCCATAACACAAGCTTTAGTTAGCTTAACTTGGGTCTAGATGGCGCTGTGTGAATTGTCCTGAGATTATTATTATTATTATTATTATTATTACAAGTGCATTTTAAATAAAACTATATATTTTCTGATTTCAGCTTACGGCATTGGCTGCGCATTGGTTCCAAACACCACGCTAAAGAAACTAGAATAACTGTATTCATATATAGCCAAAGATTTTTATATGTTAATGTCCCAAATTATATGTAAAATTGTATTTTTATGGATTCTGTATATGTTATTTCTTTTTTGTTAGGATTTATTTAGTATAGTTACACTTTGTAACTAATAAGTAAAAACAAATTATATATATTGTTATATCATAATTTTTTATTATTAATATTTTAAAATGTGCCCTCTCTCTCTCTCTCCCTTTTTTTTATGCCACTGAAAACCAGAGTTATGTTCAGACAGAACATACAATATAGCTGAGTGGAAACATTTCAGTCCCCATATATATGTAGAAAATGATTCTTATATGTAAATTTATTTTAAATTTTCTATATATACATGTTAAATTGAGTTTAAATATATATTTTATTTTATATTTTTTTTGTTTATATCGTAACTGAAAAGCACTGAATATTTTTTTCTTTCTTCCTTTCATGGAGCAAGAGTGAATTAAATTTATAAATTAACCATAAATTGCAACTTATATTATAATGATAAAGTTTGTGAGTTAGGATGTTAGAGATGATCTCCGGACTAATTTTGAAAATCTTTTAGTTTTTTCGGTGTGTTTTTAACCATAGTGTTAACTAGCTTTTATTGAAGAAGGTTATAGGGCAGGCTAGGCGAACCAATGGCACGCGTGCCATTGACGCACGCGACACAATATTTTGGGCACGTCGTCGATCATAAAACTGTTTGAAGAAGCTGGCTCCTGCTATTTTAACAATATTTTCACCTACCTATGCCTGCGAGTCATTATTTTCAGAGATGAATAACATTAAAAACTCGGTTAGAAACCGTTTGACAGATGAATCAAGTTCAGCATGCATTTACCTAACAGTAACATCGTACAAGCCTGACATAAATTATTTACTAATCTGCAGCAACAGAAGTCACACTAATTTTACAGTAATTTAATTTATGCGCGTAATGAAAACAATCCAAAATGTACCTCTTTAGTTTACTTTATTTCATGGAGAGTTTTGATAGTATTTATTATTATTATTTTCCAAATAATCAGAAAGTCAAAATTATTTGATGGCACGTCGATGACCCCATTAAACATTTTTTAGAAAAATTGTACGTTGATGCGTAAATTTTCGCATACCCTACTATAGGGTATATGACATCTCGCTACAACTAAAAGGAGCGGAGCTACAATAAAAACGTTGCTAAAACTATTTGTTACGATAAGTTGTTTCTGTCTTTACCTGAATATTATGTACAAATAAGGTATTAAATAAAACGTCTGAGATTTTTAAAAATATTCTCTTTTTTATTTATAATTTATTGTATCCTAATCGCATCCGTCTGTCAGTCAAACTCATAACATAACACGCAATAGGCGCATCAGGGAGACTATCTACATTATTAAATTTCTTATTATTTATAGGCAACATATTTTTAACAATATATATATATATATATCAATGTAATAATGAAATATGGACGGTTCCAAAATGCATTGAAGCAAACACACGTGGAGAATTTAACGAAAAGCGGCGCCAATTTTCAGATACATTCTAAAAATATCTCTAAACAAATTTTTATAGAATCTAAAAACAAGTTGAAAATTGATTTCAGTTTCTCTAAAATGAACAATTTTTTAGAGAATCTAAAAACAATTTAAAACTCTTTTTAGTTTCTTTAAAAATATATCTAAAATGAATAATTTTTAGAGAATCCAAAATCAATTTAAATTCGTTTCCTTAATTAATTAATGAATTAATTTAATTAATGAAAAGAAAGCACCGCCAATTCCGAGATATATTCTCTAAAAATATAATCTAAACAGATTTTTAGAGAATCTAAAATGAGTTTAAACATGTTTTTAGTTTAAAAGGCTAGCTAAAAATTATTTAGTTCTACATACTCTTTATAGATTGTACTAATATATCTCTAAAACGATTGTTTTATATAACCAAATGGTAAACAAGCTGTCTACCTTTAGTGGCAAATAGTTTAGAGATACATTTTAGACAACTACAATTTTTTTTAATCATTTGTTTTCATATATAAAAATCTTTACATATTACAAAACGCAATTCGCTTCCCCTGTTTGTTCGCTCATATCTTTTAAACTACGCAACTGATATTAATGCAATTTTCAGCAATCGATAGAGTAATTCAAGACGATGATCTATATGTATAATATATGTAAACCCGTGCAAAACCGGGGCGGATAGAAATATAACAATTGATTGAATCATAAGTTGCCTTCACAAAAGAAATTATCTCCAATAGAAACTATTAGAATTTTCTCCTATTAATTATAAATGTTTTTTAACACAAAATATAAATAATAATAGTAAATATTGTTAAAAATATGTTGCCATTTAACATGCTACATCAGTCCATAGCAATAGCAATGACTAAACAGCTGTTTTAAAACTACACATGGTCTTAAAATCAGTAAATGTTGGATAGTACTCTTGTTTTTCTCGTGTGTAGACAAATTAGGGAGATTAAATATTACTATTTGTCTACACACGAGACGAGTTAAGGTAGACCGTTGTTCAGAATGACCACTGACTTGAAAACCGTGTGTAGATCTCTTCAATTATAACAAGGTTAACAAATTATGCTCGGACTGTACTTTGTGACAGCTAGGCATGTTTACAAATCCCGGATTTCACTGTTTGTTTAAAGAACTATGCTCATAAATATATTGATTTGAAACAAGATTTTTGTTAAGAGTGTTCACTACTGAAGTGTCGCAATATATGACATTATATGTCAATAATAAGAATTATACAAACATACAACAAAAAAAAAAAGTGAGAAAAATTGATGCAAAATATTTTTGGCGCCGGCCAGATTCGAACTTGGGACTTTTCGATCTAGGTCCAGGTAGTAAAATCAATAGGCAACGTTGCTCTTTCTCTTTCACATAATAAATAATTATTAAATAATATAATAGTTTAAAAAAAATAGAGAAAAAAACGTTGCAAAATTTGAATCGCAACACTCTTAATATTCTTGTTGTTGTGTAAAAACGAATATCTCATACATTTTAACTATTAAAATGTTCTATCCAATTATTTCAAATTAAAAATAAAACTAACTCGAAAAACCGAAAAAAAAAAATATATACTAGTAAAAAACCGGACTCCAATAATTAACGATTCATAACTGATAATTATTAATTTCCAGAAACAAATACCTGAATTTAACTGGAAAGTTCAAATACAATCCCTATTACAACATCTGAGAATTTCCCTCGATTAACCTGGGATCACATGGTCAGATCGTAAGACCTGCCTACAACATCTGAGCATATACCCTCGATTAACCTGGGATCACATGATCAGATTGGATCACATGGTCAGATCGTAAGACCTGCCTACAACATCTGAGTATATACCCTCGATTAACCTGTGATCACATGATCAGATCGTAACTTGGTGATAATAAGACTATTTCATGACTATAACCTTTGAAATAAAAAAAGAATTATAAAAATCGGTCCACAATTAACGAAGATATCGCTGAATAATCACTAAAAATGCAATTTACAATATTATTTAAAAAAATTTACACGCCGGAAACTGCATGGCATGTTTAGATTTACTATAATTTTAAGACCATTATCCAGTAAATAAATGTAATAAAAAAAGAAGAGACCGCATATAGTGTCCTTTTTTGAAGTCGGTTATAATGGATAGAACTATTGAACAGTTAAAATGTTTGAGGTATATATTTTTTTGTATAAAAACCGTGATTAACAATTGACTGGGCCGTTCATAGTCGCTGAATAGTGGACGACAAAGCAAGATTGCAGACTAGAATTGTAATATCTTATTGTCCATTCACTTTGTCAATACAATACACACTTAAATTCGAGGCTTACACATAATAATTTGTATATAATTTAATATATATACTTAAATAATATAGGCCAGTTAAATTGACTGCATTACCCTATGTAAATTTGGATTTATACATACCATTAAATTTGAATAACCCAAGGCACAATGTTCAATGACTGATTGAGACAATTATATATTTTAATGTATTATAAATTGATTGCACTAATTTACACGAATCCTTTCAATATTGGCAGATCATTCTCGATTTTAACAACTAAAAGATCGTATTTATGTGATTAAGGACGCTCCACGTTTAAGGTTATATCGGACAGCTCGTGTTTGATTGGCGCGTTGAATGCTACGGGCAGCCATTTTGGAAAATGCACCAATAGCTGCCTTTGCACGTACGCTTTTAAAACTTAACGCGCGATTCTGCTTTCATGCAGGAAAGAATGTGCATAATAAATGTAGACAAAGAGAACGGGAAAGATCGCGCGCGCATACCATCGTGTGCATTAGCGCCATTTTGTAATAATTAGTTATCATTGCAAAATGGCGGACATCTGAGTATGAAGCAAAGATTTATAGATTGATGAACGTGTCTTTGAAAAATAAAATGTTTGGAATAAAAAAGAAAGAAATGACATGAAACAAGCGCGAAAGAGTGAACATAAAAAGTAGTTAAATGCAATCGCTCGCGATTGCCCGCGTTGTCTTTCCCACATTAAATCTTTCCCGCGTTAAATCGCGCGCTGCGCTGTCTTTCCCGCGCTGAATCGCTCCTGATCGCGCGTGTAAGTACGTGTAAAGGCAGATAATCGAAAGGCAGTCATAGGAACGAGTCGTCCGAACGATTATGTGTGAGCGCCGTTATACGCTCTACAACTATGTGTGTATATCTGTGTTCACTGCTCTCCTTACGCACACCATTAATATCTGAGATTACAACTTCTAGTGAATTATTAAGATTAATATTGTTATGTAAATTAAAATATTGCTCATAATTTTAGTGCGTTGATTATGTCATAGGCATATGAATATAAATACGGTACATTCACCAAAATAGCATTTATTACCATCTTCGTCTGTCTGTCTGTTTGTTCCGGCTAATCTCTGAAATGGCTGGACCGATTTTGACGGATTTTTATTGGCAGGAAGAGTAAGTTAGGCTACTTTTATTTTAGAAAAATGAAGTTCTAGGGTGCATTTAATAAACATAAATGCTTCTTAATCTTAATATTTCACTAGAGTTGTTACAATCTCTTACACTTACACGTGTACACTACAAATCTGAATTTGGCTACAAATGCTTATCACACAGCCTTCGCATTATATATCAGAGTGTGATTATATAACGCTGTTGCTAACAATTCTCATTTCAAACAAACAAAACTACACTTCTGTATATATATATATATCTTTATATATAAAAATTACGTGGCACGTTATTTGTCCGCGATGGACTCCAAGCGATTGCAAATTTGCTGTGAAAAAAAGTGTTCGAGCAGCGACAGAATATTCAAGGGACAGAATTTCTCACATTTAAAATATAAATAATCTTTATTCAAATAAACTTAATATAAGCACTTTTGAATAGTCATATTTAAATACAACTCACAAAGCAAGTTCTGACACTAAAGTAGTTTTGTTTGTAAATGAAAATTGTTCTACAACTGCATTTACACAATCTAACATCTCCAGCACACAACTCGCATATACAAAACTATGTCAAATGTATTATTTTTGTACAAAAACGAATACATTACTCATATTACAGTCTAGGGTAAGGCATATTCCATAATTATAAATAGTTAATTACATATATTTATAGTTGAATTTATATACAGTCTCACGCGTTCTCTTAAAGCCGACATTTTACATTATGTTACAAAATTGTATAGGCGACTAATTGTTGATTGTTATATAAAAATGAAAGGCCACCCGATTTGGTCGCTTTAACTCTAGGAGATCGGAGATTGGGTGCACTCTACAACAAAATTGGCTTATCCAATTTGTGAGAGACACCATCATGATGTGTACATTGTAATCACGTTTAAATATCCCCCGTTAGGTTGCTGATATACAGTCGGTTATTTCTGAGATAAAGAACGCAACACTCAAATGTGCTAATCGGAATCCATCTGAACGATGGACTTATAAGAATAACCTGACGATTAACCGACTGTATATCAGCAGCCTTATTCATAAAAACTAACCATTTATTTTGCATTTTGAGTGTTCTATCACTTTCTATCAAATGAAGATACTAATTTAAAAGAAAGGGACAGCAGTTACATTTGGTTTTTGGTGTTCACAAGTTTTTATGAATGGGGTTTATATGTAAAAATTACATTTGTCATCAGTTTCGACAATTACAATGTACACTGGAGTTGAAACATTTGATTATGTTGATTTTTATTAATATAACGTAATTTTAATGATTATATTTCGTTTGAAAATGAATGATTTTTATAATATCTATCCAAAACTCCTCTGAATTTCAGCGATGGGCCCTCTTATATAAAGTTATCAGAAAACAATGACCTATTTGGTAATATATTAGAATTTAACAACAATATAATCATAATACTTGTATAATATAAAATCAAATGAAATGTATAACTTTCCTTGCTATTTGATGTACTAGTCAGATTTAAATTTATATATTAAAATTCATTATAGATATAGAAACGATCATATATTTCTGAACAATCCCAATTTTTATATAACACAACAAGTTTTTTTTTAAATTTATATTTACAGTCCTAACTGAACGGTATAAATCGTAAATAAATATACATACATATTGATGTCAGGAAGGTACTTACATACTCGTATATCCCCAATAGGAGATTACACGCAGCCAATAACGCTGCGTTACACAAAACGCATTACATGCGCCCAAAACAACACATTCAATGATAAAACATTAAAAATACTTAAGTAATGGAAATTATAATCCACAGAAAGATCCACGGCCATTTTGATGTCCGTATTTATATCAGAACGCATACACCTATGCCAGTTTATGTTAAAAAAAAAAAGTCAAAAGTCTACACTCATCGTAGTTCGTAGTCTGTGCACTTCACTATATGGTCCAAATTCCACTGTGCTTGTCATTTGTTTCACTAATTGTTTATGATAAATTAAAAAAAGAAACTCACTGTTCCATTTTCAAATGCGTGGCCAAAGTTTATAACGTTAGTTTTGGCGTCAGCTATTCGGGGCCAGTAGCACCTCTAGCCAGCAGGGGCATGCCGTAACGTCTCGCCTTGAGTATTTTGGTCCCCAGCCCTTCGCGAACGAGATCCTGACCGAGCGGGAGTCCACTGGGCCTATGTGGGGCAGCGACAGCGCTGGCGGCGGGCAGTCCGGGTCAAACACACATAAGCAGTGTCCTGGAGCGACCCGCCATACCAATAGCGCTTTTGCAGCGGCTGCATCAAGCGCTGGTGAGCTGACGAACACGGGTTCTTGGCTGCGATTGTACAGCCAGACGCCGTCGCTCTCGAGTGAGAGAGTCACGCCGAGACCGATTTTCGCTCTCGTTTTTCGCACCTGTAATGAAAGAGACAGATTGACTATCAAATGGGATACTTGTTGAGAACGTCTTGGCCTAGTAGCATACTATACACTTCAAAAAACTGAGATTCGAATCTCGCCAGAACAAAAGTCAAATATTTCTAATCATTGCTAGTAGTGGGGAGGGGGGGGGGGGGAAGAGGGGGGGGAGGGGATTGTTAGTAATGTGTACTAAAGATCCTATTGCTAGCAATGTATTATGGCACCCAAACCACTGGACGGATCGGGCTGAAATTTGGCATGCAGGTAGATGATATGACGTAGGCATCCGCTAAAAAAGAATTTTGATTAATTCTACCCCCAAGTGTATAAATATAAAATAAGGGATGAAACTTTGTATGAAACTTTGTCAATTTCAAACCGATCGGGCTGAGACTTTACATGCATAAAGCTACTATGACGTAGGCAACCCTTAAGAAAGGATTTTGATGAATTCCACCCCTAAGGGGATAAATTAACGAGAACGAAGCCGCGGGCAAAAGCTAGTTCTAAATAATATCATATTAATAAAATAATATAGAGGGAAAGGGGATTGTTAGTAATGTAGATTGTTGTACTCTATGGTAATTCTCCATTGCAATGTACTGTATGTTGACCTCCACGCGGTTCCCCCTGCAAACCATCGTGATATTTCGTGATCAGATATACCAATCCCGGTAAATTTGTCACGTTGGGCTAACTGATCTGACTTCATGTTCATCTTATCATCTCCACTGGTGCCCCGTCAGCGTCATGAATACAAATTGTTTGTGCCGTGCAAGGAATCGAACCCGCGACCATCGGTCGTAAAGCGGTGTGCTAGACCGCTAGACCACCGAGGTCGTCTAATCATAAGTATGAATATTTGTATTGGCGTGTTTTATATGTATGTATTTACGATAAAAAAAACATGTATGTATTTGTATCAGTTGTCTAGTACACAACACAAGCTTTAGCTAGCTTAACTTGGATCTAGATGGCGCTGTGTGAATTGTCCTGAGACTATTATAATTATTACTAGGTATATAACTATTTATTGTAATTCAAATCTATGAGTAATAAGTGTTATTTGTTATCTTATCAGTAATATGTAATAACAGCTTAGAATCGACTATTTAATGATCCAACCTACTTCAATTGTGAATGACAAAAATATATTTGAATGAGTAGACTTATATGTTTATATATAAAAACTAGGTGCACTCGCGACTTCGTCCGCGTGAAATTTAACTTTATTTTCTTAAATTAAAAGTTCTAAAAAAAGACTATGTTACTTATTATAACATTAGCTACCTGCCAATAAAAGTGCCGTCAAAATCGGTCCAGCCATTTCAGAGATTAGTTGGAACAAACAGACAGACAGACAAAAATTGTAAAAAATATTATTTTGGTACGGCACATACCACCGTATAAAGACTATGTTACTTATTATAACATTAGCTACCTGCCAATAAAAGTGCCGTCAAAATCGGTCCAGCCATTTCAGAGATTAGTTGGAACAAACAGACAGACAGACAAAAATTGTAAAAAATATTTTTCGGTGTACGTACCGTATTTATATTCATATGCATGTAGTAAAAAACGATTATTTCAATATTGCAAACAGACACTCCAATTTTATTTATATGTATAGATACGTAACGTTGTTTGTCCGCGATGGACTCCTAAACTACTGAACTGTTTACAAATTTGATTTGCACATTGTGTCCAATTTGATCCAACTTGAAAGATAGGATAGCTTACATCTCAATTTATAGTAGCAATTTTATTTTATTCAAGAACTTTAGCCACAGCAACGCGTGGCCGGGTCTACTAGTACATAGATAAAATACTGTACTATATGTAGTTCTATATTATTTACTAAATAGGTACATAGCCTATATGTTATTCTGATGTATAAGCTACATTTCTGTACAGTTTTTGCGTGAAAATGAATGAACTGTGAAGAATAACAAACATTCATACTGACAATCTTTTTTGCATTTTTTTTTTTGTGGATGATAATGGAATGGTGCACCCGCCTGCGCTAACGGTTTACGCTGGCATACGTTACACGTACGTACGTACATTTACGCTGGATGAGCATGAGGTCAGGTCAGTTAGCCCATCGTGACAAATTCACCAGGAATTTAACACGATCGTTTCCAGGGGGAACCGCGTGGAGATCGACCTGACATGGTACATTGCTAGCAATGGGGTTATCAATCCACATTACTAACAATCCCTTTCTCCCCTCTTTTTTGTATTCATGAGTATGATTGTTCGTTTCGTTCTGGGTGTTTTCTATATGGGTACCCATATCTCAAGCTTTAGCTAACTTAACTTGTGTCTAGATGGCGCTGCGTGAATTGTCCTGAGATTATTATTATATTTAAAATACTAATTGAATATCATTACAGCATTAACTGTAGGCAGAATGTCAGTGCTTTAGCGAAATATTCACGGTATCTCACTGATAACGGGGTTATCAGCAGACAGGGACCATTTCCACTAAATCGATATAATCGGTACGGTTCTGCACAATCATTAGAGACCCCTTTGAAGGAGTAATTAATTCTAAAGTATAATGATTAAGATATTATATATTTTTCCAATAAATAAAGCACAAAGCACCATAAAATTTAATAAATATAGTTTCAGTAGTTTTTGCGTGAAAGAGTAAAAAACTTCCATCCATACTCACAAATGTTCGAGTTTATAATATTAATCATCATCATCATCATCATCGTCATCGCAGTCCGGAAGACGTCCACTGCTGGACATAGGCCTCCCCCAAAGATCTCCACGACGAATATATTATAATAATATTAAGTAATTGTAAATGTAATTTACATTTTTGTCTGTCAGTCTATCTGTTTGTTCTTGGTAATGACGAGCGTGCATGGCAATAGTTGTTCATGCACGGGATTTTCATTTAATGTTAGACATAGACACCTATATAAATATATATTGGAAGTAAACTAGCTTTTAAAAAAAACTCAACCGAGTTTCTTGCCAGTTCTTCTCAATTGGATCTATATACCGAGATAAGGAAAAAAATAAATTTATAATATAAAAAAATTCTCGTTCTTAAGCGGCTAAAATGTCCTACATTAATTTTTTTATTTGAATCTCTGAGACGTTGATATTTTCACTCGCAGGTAGTAATTATTTTAAGCAGTAACTTGTCAAAATTATCTCAGCTAATCTGCTAATATTGTAAAAGGGTGAAGTTTATAATTTGTGAGGTTGAGACTTTTACCATGGGCTAACTGTTGATTTCACTGACTCATTTTATCATCCTCTACTGATGCCCCGCCAGCGTAAACCTTGAGCAGAGGCGATTGCATCATTATCATCATCTACTTCTTCCTTATCCCATTTCTTTGTGGTCTTCGTAATATGTTTTTCTCTTCCATTCATCCCTGTTCGCAGGCATTTCGTTATTCACTTCCTTTCTTACCATATCATCTTTCACACAGTCCATCCATCTCTTTTTCGGTCTTCCTCTGCCCTTATAACCATCCACATTCATATGTTACACCTTCCTTAAAACATTATCTTCATTCCTACGCATTACATGTCCATACCACGATAGACGATTACTCAACCTCTCCGACACCGGCGCTACTTTCATATTCCTCTAATGTATTCATTCTTTATCTTATCCATTCTTGTCACACCACACATCCACCTCAACATTCGCATTTCAGTTGCACGCAGTCGTCTTTCATCCGTCGCCTTTACGGGCCAGCACTCTGATCCATACAAGACAGGGCAGGCCGGATCATGGTCTTGTAAATTTTTCCCTTAAAGCGAATGCACTATTCCATTAAAAAAGATTTATACCTGTTCCACTTGTGGCGCGTCGCTTCTCTGCTCCAGCCCATCCAGGCAGAAACCGCCCTGCCCGCTGCCCAGGGCGCTGCCCCCGAACACGTCGACAGCAGGCACCCGAACACAGAATTGTCTGCCAACCCGCTGGGTCAACTCCCAGTATGCTAGCCTACACCATTCTTCCGTCCAGGTCCATCGCCCTGGAAAGAAAATTATACAAATTCAAATCTTTATTCGTGTAGATCTATTACAGACTTATGATATGTCAAATCTACCGTCAGTTCGGAATGATTTCGAGATGAGAACTGACAAGAAACTCAGCTCGTATTCTTTTCAAATTTATAATAATACAGATTCATTTTTAAATTCAAATTTGTAAGAATAGAGTGATCACCAGCATATGTTATTGTAAAAACAAAAAGTCTAATCAGTGTTCGTAATCTGAACAGACCATTCCCCAAGCAGCACCCGTACACGTATGGCCATGCAAATAGACGTCGACCTTAAAAAACATCGATGTTAAGAGTTTAATTTGCATAAAACAAATTGCGGTGGACCACCCTTATCACTTACAGTTATAAAAAATAGATAATAATCTAGTCTAACTAGTGATCAGATAGTATAGACCCTGTGAAAAAGCAGACTACTTTAAATGCGAAGAAAGGTTGTAAGGGGTTGAAAGGGGTTGAAAGGGGTTGAAAGGGGAGAAGAAAGGGGTTGAAAGGGGAGAAGAAAGGTTATATGGAAATATCGTAATTTTTAAAGCTGCTACATCAAAAGTTTGTAATTTATTTTTTGTCTATGGGTGCTACTTGTCACCACAAGTAACGGGTTCTACTTGTGGGGACAATAAGCACCCGTTCACGAGTATGACGGACGACTATACTTTAATTATCGTCTTTGAGCAAATAAATGATTATTTTTAGATCGCGATAGGCAAAACTAGTTTGTGTAGTTTGACAAACGGCTTATCATATTGTTATGATGTATAATTTATAAGTAAAAGTAGAAGCTACAAAATTCAACAAGACCCTACATTATCGCTATTTTATCATTTATAGCTAGGAACACGAGATATGACGTCACTATAAATATAGACTAAATGCTGGTGACTAACTCCACATTCAGTAAAGCAGGACAAACTTCACTAATGCTGTTTAGAAATTCTTTTTACAAATGGTGGAAAATGGTACTGTAGTTACTACGTTACCACTTGAAAACAAAAGGTCAGGTGAACAGCAAAATGTTTTCAATACAAAATATCTTCATTCATATGGGTCTATTACAGACTTATGATATGTCAAATCTACCGTCAGATCCGAGTGCTTTCGAGCTAAAAACTAGCAAGAAACTTAGTTGGTACATCTTTTTTAAGTGTTTTTTTAATGAACGGGTTACGTTGGCGGGGCACCAGTGGAGGGTGATAACATGAGCGTAAGATCAGGTCAGTTAGCCTATCTTGGCCGATGGCAATTTATCATGAGGATTTCCAGGGGAAACCTTACTTAGCACATGGAGTAATTAATTGACATTGCTAGCAATCCTTTTTCAATTTATTATTTGATTTAGTCAGATTCAATTAATATAATGTTACATAGAATTTAAGTAGTGTATATTTCTAACATTATTTATTTGTCTGTGATCAACGTCCATATGTACTCTGTTTTACATCTAAAAATATATAACTCAAAGGTAACTAACTGACATAGTGATCTATCAGCGCACAGACCAAACCACTGGACGGATCGGGCTGAAATTTGGCATGCAGGTAGATGTTATGACGTAGGCATCCGCTAATTTTTTTCATTAATTCTACCCCCAGGGGGATAAAATAGGAGATGAAAGTTTGTATGAAACTTTGTCAATTTTAAACTGATCAGGCTCAGACTTTGCATGCATAAAGCTACTATGATGTAGGCATCCTTTAAGAAAGGATTTTGATAAATTCCACACCTAAGGGGATAAATTAAGCGAGCGAAGCCGCGGGCAAAAGATAGTTTTATATATTTGTCTATGGTATACATGTCTATGTGCACTCTATTTTACTTTCATACAATGTCGCCTAACAATGTATATTATATATACATTGTTAGATTTTCTGTTAATTTTATAGCTCCGATAAGGATATGTTCGAATAGGTACGTCCACTGTGTCCTAGATTCCAGTGTCCACTGATAGTGTAAGTTTCTATCTACTAGGTTGTAGGTCGGTCAGTTTTAGTTCAGTCAGCTTCAGATCAGTAGGTTTTAAATCAGTCAGTTGCTTACTTAAAAGGAAAATTTTATTCTTACTTTCAAATCTTTAAGAGATTGACTTCCAAAACTCTGGTACCTAACCTATAAGATCTTTAAAAGAATGACTTGAAGTCCAGAGGGCAGCAGGATCGAAAGCTAATATGGGTTTCCAATTGACGGCCTTGGTAGTCTAGGGTTTAGGTCTCACTTCCGATGATCGCGGGTTCGATTCCTCGCATGATACAAAGATTTGTAATCATAAGTATCATTGTTTGTACCGGGCTGGATGTTTTCTATGTATAAACTATGTGTATCAGTTGTCTAGTACCCATAACACAAGCTTTAACTATTTTAACTTGGGTCTAGATGGCGCTGTGTGAATTGTCCTGACATTATTATATGAATACTCATGAATACAAATGTTTACGCCGTGCGAGGAATCGAACCCGCGACCATCGGATGTAAAGCGCTGTACTAGTCCGCTATACCACCGAGGTCGTCATAAACAAACGTCACTTATAACCAAAGCTAAGTTACTGACAAAATTGAATTCGAGCCTGCACGCCGTCTTTGTAGTTCCAGGTCGTTGTACCATGCAATAGTTTAAAGCTGAAAGAAGTGCTGTTTCAGTTTTCATCGAGGTCAGCGGTTCGTTTCGCGTGTGAATATCACATAAATATCTTTAATACACACAAATTATATAATTTTCTCTTCATTTTTATATACGAGATACCTACATAATTATATATATAGGACGGCCTCGGTGATCTAGTGGTTTAGCTCTTTACTTCCGATGGTCGCAGGTTCGATTTCTCTCACGATACATACATTTGTATTCTGTAGTATGATTTCTTTTATAATAAACACATAATATACATATATATTATATCGATGTTTGCATCGGTCTGGGTGTTTTCTATATATATTATGTGTTTATTTTATAAAAGAAAATGGATTTATGTATTCATATCAGTTATTTAGTACCCATAACAAGTTTTGCTTAGCTAGGGACTAGAAGGAGCTAGAATATTAATAGAATTAAAACTCTAAACACGACCACAAATATTCCAAATTCAAAATATCTTTATTCATGTAGGTCTATTACAGACTCTTATGATATGTCAAATCTACCGTCAGTTCGGAATGATTTCGAGATGTGAAAAACTGACAAGAAACTCAGCTCGTATTCTTTTGAAATAAATGTTGTACATGTTTACAATAATATAGATTCTTCTTTAAATTCAAATTTGGGAGAATAGAGTGAGTACGAGCATATGCTATTGCAAAAGCAAATAGTCTAATCAGTGTTCGCAACCCGAACAGGCCAGTCCCCACAAGCAGCACCCGTTCACGAGTATGACGGAATGGGGTGCTATTTAAATATAATAATATAATAATAGCTAGAGCTTGTGTTATGGGTACTAGATAACTGATACATATACATAGTTTTTTTTTTTTGTAAATACATACATATTATACATAGAAAATACCCAGACCGATACAAACAATCATACTCATGAATACAAATGTTTGTGCCGTGCGAGGAATCGAACCCGCGACCATCGGTCGTAAAGCGGTGTGCTTGACCGCTAGACCACCGAGGTCGTCAAAATGAAAGTCTCATGCATGAGCAACTATTATCATTACTTAAATACGATTAAAACCTTCGTATAGACAAATATAACGCAGTGGTAGTATGTTACCACAGTTGTCCCACCATCCCGTGACGGTGACGGTGGTGTGGGTACGGCGCCGGTGTGGCGGGCTGCGGCCAATCGATCAAGGTTACCGCCACCACCTCACCACGCTACCACTCTACTACCACCAGACAAGTGGGTTTGGGACACACTCCGCTGTTTTATAAACGCAAATTTGTCTTGGGAATGGTCTGTTCAGATTACGAACACTGATTAGACTCTTGCTTTTGCAATAGCATTATGCTGGTGGTCACTCTATTCTCCCAAATTTGAATTTAAATGAATCTGTATTATTGTAAACATGTACAACATTTATTTGAAGAGAATACGAGCTGAGTTTCTTGTCAGTTCTTCTCATCTCGAAATCATTCCGAACTGACAGTAGATTTGACATATCATAAGAGTCTGTAATAGACCTACAAGATATTTTGAATTTTGAATTTGAATTTAATATAATAAACACGGAAGTTTGTGAGTATGGATGGATGTTTGTTACTCTTTCACGCAAAAACTACTGCATGGATTTCGATGAAACTTTGCAGCTATAGATTACAAGCACGTACCCCTATATATGCGCTGATCTATTCATACTCGCTCAATTTACATAATATCTTTTGAAATTATACATATATCTATATACATACACATATATGTGAATGGTAACCAATACACAGTATTTGTTATTGGTTACAAATTACTTTTTGCGAAATTTGGTCGAAACAATTTTTTTTTGTTTTGGACAAATTTGATCTCATTGTCATTAGATATACATAAGTAGAGTTGTAATCCACTACGCCATGACGTTCTCTAATATAATATGTTAACAACAAAACAACTTGCTGTTGTTATTTTAAACGTAAAAAAAAATTGAATCATTCAAACACAAAGTTATTGAGAGGTGTTGACTAGTAAGCTGCTAAACCAATACACAGTACCCCCATTGGTTAGAAATTACTTTTTGCGAAATTTAGTCGAAACAGTTTTTTTTTTGTTTTGGGCAAATTTGATCTCATTGTCATTATATATACATAAGTAGAGTTGTAATCCACTACGCCATGACGTTCTCTAATATAATATGTTAACAACAAAACAACTTGCTGTTGTTATTTTAAACGTAAAAAAAATTGAGTCATTCAAACACAAAGTTATTGAGAGGTGTTCACTAGTAAGCGACTAATTAACAGATCTCAAGAAACAGCTGCAGTTAAACAAATCACAACGGATCCCAGCTGATTGATATTACTGTGGGCTGACATCAACAATGGCTCCAGCCAACTTGGCGAGTTCCTACCACGAACAACCACTGCCAACATAATGATTAAATTAATGCTTTTAAACGAAATTTAAATCCGATAAATGCATCGAAAACTTGTAAAAGATGGCGAAGTTGCAAGTTAACTCGATTAAATACTTATTAATAGATATATATTTATAATAATAATAATAATCTCAGGACAATTCACACAGAGCCATCTAGACCCAAGTTAATCTAGTTAAAGCTTGTGTTATGGGTACTAGATAACCGATACATATACATAGATATTTTTTTTGTAAATACATACATATTATACATAGAAAACACCCAGACGGATACAAACAATTATACTCATGAATACAAATTGTTTGTGCCGTGCAAGGAATCGAACCATCGGTTGTAAAGCGGTGTGCTAGATCGCTAGACCACCGAGGTCGTCGTATATTAAAGGAAATCCAACTGACTATACACATATAGAATTAATATAAACGCCATACTGGGGGAAAAGGGGATTTTCAGTAATGTGGATTTATGATCTCATTGCTAGCAATCTGGTTTTTTTATTCGGACTACTCTAATGCTGTTGGCCGCAGCTGGCCTTTACAGCTTCACCGGACGTTAGAAGGCGAGTGCAGATGGCACTCCAAACCCGAGGAAGGACTTATGGAGCGGCTGAAGGCTACGACTTCAGTCTGAGGGCACAACTAGGGGTTCGAACCTCGGCTCAGGCCGTCGTAATATCGATCCCCGTTTGAATTGGACGGGGGATCGATCGGAGGGGCGAGCAATCTGGTATATTAATAAAATAGTCTACAATATGTTACTTGTCGGTTCCTATTTTAATATTAGTAGTAACTAGCAATCGAAAGTAATAATTGGTATATGAGAACTGGCCAAGTTAGAACTTAGGCTACAGTATATTATCCTAAGTTATAAGAAGAAATTATATTTTATATTGTTATAAATACATTTCAGGACAGACCATTGAACTTGGCACCCATTTAGATCTCATCTCTTTTGTCGTAGAAGTCAACAATCAAGGCATATATCATAATATTAAACTCGGCTATCATTTCACATTTATGTTTTTGATGGGATATAGGATTACTTTGATTAGTTAAAATTGGATAATGAAAAAATTAATCTAGTAATACTATTGGCGAAGATTATTAATTGGCATACGACAATATAATATGACAAGTAACATGTGAAATTACACCGTTCATCTTTCTAAAATAAATAAATATATTTATTTATTATATATACAAGCACTAATTAATGTCGACGGCTTTGAAGCCGGCTACCGGAAGGAAAACCCCAAGCAGCGCCCGTGACTTGTGACACGGGTGTAGGTTTAAAAGGCCCTTTTAGAATGCATTAACGCTCACCTTCACTACTTGCAGCTTCCCCCCAGGCCCAACTAAGACCGGGATAAACCCATTCCTAATAAAATTCACTTTAGTATCCAAAACACAACCGGCACGCTCTGCCCTCGTCGACTGAATGCCGCGGCTCACGCAACGAAAGAGGATTATTCAACTACCGACCTCCGTATTTATAGACCGAAGTCAGTGTAGTAATTCGGTCTATAAATACTAGATGGCGCTATTTACAATATTTGTAATAATCTTTACACGCATACTTCATTAGTACTAAACACAAACTACCTTCTTTTAATGTCTTTTTAAAATATCGGATTTTTTCTACAATATTGATGTGAAGTCTAACATATACATATATATTATATGTCATAGTAGAACGAATCAAATATAAACTGTTGAATAGCCACTATTGTTATCTAGTGATAACAAATGGACCTATCGGGCTTAGCGTGTTTTTAGAGTATTAATCATTGGAGAAATGAGGGATACAAGATCCGGTCAAGTGCGAATAAAAAGTATATAAAAGGTTCTAGACAAATTAACTAAATATTTTTTTTCTTTACATCGATAAACACGCATAACTATAATTAATTATCATACTTATGCATATTTATACGTAATGATGATTTCTATTGACAGTCTCGGTGGTCCAGCGGTTAGTACACCGACTTACGAGGGTCGCGGGTTCGATTCCGCACGGCACAAACATTTGTATTCATGAGTATGATTGTTTGTATTGGTTGGTCTTACATAGACAAACCAATACAAATAAATACCATTGCTGGAAGGTAATTCCACAATGTGGTTGTGCGTGGCAATGAAGTAATCGTTCAGCGAGTGGCTTTGCTCAGTAAATATGATTTAACAGATGTTATGATTACAAACATATGACAATAATAACGCAGTAGTATGGTAAGTGGTACAATACCTTCACCGTCAGTGGCGAGGGAGTCACCATCTAGCCGCTCGTGGTCAGTCCTCCTTGCGTCCTCAGTTTTTTTACTCTTCTCTCTTTCGTGCTCTGGAAAGAAAGAAAACATTTTTTACTATAGGTATGGCGGCGATTTAGTCGAAGTTTTTACGTAAAAGAGTAACAAACATCCATCTATACTCACAAACATTCGCATTTATCATATTACTAGCTACTCGACCCGACTTTGCACGGGTTTACATGTATCTAAATATATATAACACAAAGGTGACTGACATAGTGATCTATCAACACACAACCCAAACTACTGGACGGATCGGGCTGAAATTTGGCATGCAGGTAGATGTTATGACGTAGCATCCGCTAAGAAAAGATTTTGATTAATTCTACCTCCAAGGGGATAAAATAGGGGATGAAATTTTGTATGAAACTTTGTCAATTTTAAACCGATCGGGCTGAGACTTTGCATGCATAAAGCTACTATGACGTAGGCATTCCCTAAGAAAGGATTTTGATACCTTCCACCCCTAAGGGGGCAAAAGCTAGTTATATATATAAATCTTCATCTTGAAGCACTCTATCTATTTAAAAAAAAACCGCCTCAAAATCCGTTGCGTAGTTTTAAAGATTTAAGCATACATAAGGGACGGACAGACAGCGACAGCGACTTTGTTTTATACTATGTAATAACATGTTATTCTGATATATAAGCTGCTGTAGTGTCACCATAATTGGTTCAGTAGTTTTTGCACAAAAGAGTAACAAACATCCATCTTACCCAAACTTACGAACGTAAGATGAATCCCTAATGCACATCAATACATGAGGCTCTCGCTCTCTCTCTAAATTACCAACTGACTTAAAAATGCAAATTTAAACCTTTTAAATCTAGACTTTATAATTGGTTATTAGAAAATTGTTTTTATAGTATTAAGGAATTTTTCTGACATGTAAAATAACGTTAGTTGCTGACACATTTTAATACATGAACAATTTAATATAATTATTAGAAATATTTTAAAAATTTATCTATAATATATAAAGCTGCATTACGGTGACTCACTCACTGATTGACATAGTTGTTCTCCCAGAAGGAGCGTCCGGGGGTCGAGACGATGTATGGGGGAAATGTTCCTTTGGCTAGGGTGACCACGAGAAAATTCCGAAATTTGGGAAAATCCAAGATGGCGGACAAAGATGGCGGCTAACTTTTACAGTTTCGCTCGGATCGATTCCGTTCAAAGAGTGATTTGGCACGTCTCGGCGGGACCCAGAATATGGCGTAAAAACAAAAAATTAAAATCCAAGATGGCGGTGAAAAAATTGCCAAAAACTGGTTGAAAATTTTCTAGGATTTCAAAAACCGAAATTCCCAGGGTAGTTGCGGGGGTGCTGGCGACACCGGTTGTAGGGCATAGGAAACTCGAAGGACCCGACCTCTAGGGAAAATTATGAAATTTCGAAAATCCAAGATGGCCGACGAGTTGGGGGCGTGTGAATTTGGTCCTAAAAATCCGGATTATTTTCAAAATCATTTTTTAGATATAGGGCAACCCCGCAGCGAGTCGGCTTCTATGGGGCGATGATAGGTCTCGGTAAGAAGTATTGCCAGCGATAAAAAGAATTTCCGAATTTGGGGTAATTTGGGAGAAATGTCCCAAAAAGTGGGAAAAAATTTTTTCGGCATTTTTGACAAAAGAAGCATCAAGGCCTATCGAGAAACATCCCCTAAAGGGTTTTAGGTGGGTTTTGTTGGAATTTTCTGGCAACACCCATACATGGTTTGACCAAAATAGAAATTGGGGTGTCTCTCCAAAAACTGAAATTCCTAGGGTACTTGTGGGGATACTACCGATCCCTATTGTAGGGCATTGGGAGGCTGAAAGACCCGGCCTCTAGGGAAAATTATGAAATTTCAGAAATCCAAGATGGCGGCCAAGCTATGGGAGATTTAGTTTTTCGAAAAATTTTGAGATATTTTCAATCGCGTTTTTGCTGCACATGGCAACCTCGAAGCTTGTCTCTTCCTACGGACTTGGATAACTCTCAGCAGGAAGGTTTATCCAGCCTAAAAAATTTCCCCGATTTTGGGTTAATTTTGGAAAAAAGTCCCATAAAGTGGGAAAATTTTTTTTTGACATTTTAAATGAAGAACTCGTTTTGGTCTACCACAAATCGTCCCCTGAAGGGTTTTAGGTGGATTTTTTCAGAATTTGCTGGCAACACCCATACATCATCGGACAAATTTTGAAATTGAGGTCTAGCTTCAAAAACTGAAATTGATAGGGTACCTACGAGTATGCTAGCTCAACGCACTGTACGGCGTCGGATAGCCGAAGGACCCGGCCTCTAGGGAAAATTATGAAATTTTAGAAATCCAAGATGGCGGCAGAGATAGGGGAGTTTTGCTTTTCGGAGAAAAATTGGGATATTTGTAAATGTAGTTTTAGGACACTTGGCAACCCCACAGCCAGTCGACTTCTATGGAGAGATGATGTGTCTCAATACAAAGTATTACCTGGTATAAAAATTTTCCCCGATTTTAGGGTAATTGTTGAGATAGGTCCTAAAAAGTGGGAAAAATTTTTTTCGATATTTCAAACAAAAGAATGATGAAAATCTGTCAAAAACAATCCCCCTATTGATTTTAGGTGGTTTTTATCAGAATTATCTGGCAACACCTTACATCAGTATTCTTAGAGAATAGTACTAGAAGGAGTCACCGAGGCTCTATACAATGTATGAACGAAATGTTTCTGTCACTAAGGTGAATACGTCAAAAGTATTAAAAAGTAAAAATCTAAGATGGCGGCCGAGTTAGGGTACTTAATTTATGTTGACATTTTTAGGGACTTTTAAAAATTCAATTTTGGGGTGCCACTAAACCTTGCAGCGAGTTGACTTCTATAGAGCAATGGAAATTCTCGGTGGGAAATATTACCTGGTCCAAAAAATTTTCCCGATTTTGGGGTAATTTCGAAGAAAAGTAAAAAAACGTGGAATTTTTTTTCGTCAATTTGAACAAAACAGTGATGAGCATTGTTCCAAAATTATCCCTCAAAGGGCCCTAGGTGGTTTTTGTCAAAATCTCCTGGCAACACCATACATCGATTTTCATAGTAAACCGTACTAAGGAACTCCTAGGTGTATGTAACCTGGGCTCTGTACAGTATATGGATGAAATGTTTCTATCACCAGTGTATATGTTAAAAGTATTTAAAAAGAAAAAATCCAAGATGGCGGCCGAATTAGGATACTTTATCTATGACGACAATTTTAAGAACTTTTTAAAATTCAGTTTTTGGTACCTATCATCCCTGCAACGAATTGACTTGTATTGAGGAATGGAAACTCTCGGTGCGAAGTATTAACTAATTTTCATAGTAAACAGTACTAAGGAACTACTAGAAGGAGTCACCTTAGCTCTGCACAATGTATGGACAAAATGTTTCTGTCACCAAAGTGGATAAGTTAAAAATATTCAAAAATGAAAAATCCAAGATGGTGGCCGAGTTTAACTATTTTATCTCTGATGATAAATTTAGGAATATATTTTGGGGTACCTGGCTTCCCTGCAGCGAGTCGACCTTTATTGAGCCATGGTAGATTTCGGTTCGAAATATTATCTAGGCTACAAATTTTCCCCGATTTTTGGGTAATTTTGCAAACCCAAAATGTGGGAATTTTTTTTTCTACATTCTAACATAAGAGTGACTGGGATCTATAATAAATCTCACCTTAATAGTTTTATGCGATTTTTTGTAAAATTAGTTGGCAACACCATGCATCGATTTTCGTAAAGAGTAATATTTACTAAGGACCCACTAGAAGGATCGTGTCTCTGTACAATATATGGATGAAAAAGGAAAAATGGTATGAAAATTTACCCCGATTCTGGGGTAATTTAGAAGACAAGTCCAAAAAGTGGGAATTTTGTTTTTCTGTATATCAAACAAAATAATGATGGATATCTGTCAAAAATCATCCCCTTATGGGTTTTTCGTGGTTTTTGTCAGAATTAGTTGGCAACACCTTAGATCAGTTTTCTTAGGGAATAGTACAAGAAGAAGTCACCGAGGCTCTACATAATGTATGGACGAAAAGTTTCTGTTACTAGGGTGAATACGTCAAAAGTATTAAGAAGTAAAAATCCAAGATGACGGCTGAGTTAGGGTACTTTTTTAAATTCAGTTTTCAGGTACTCATTGTCACTGCAGCGAGTTGACTTTTATGGAGCAGTGGAAACAAGGTACGAAGCACTACCTGGTCTAAAAATTTTCCCCGATTTTAGGGTAATATCGAGAGAAGTAAAAAACCGTGGGATTTTTTGTTTCATCATTTTAGACCAAACAATGATGCCGATCTGTCAAAAATAATCCCCAAGGGGTCTTAGGTGGCTTTTGTCAAAATGAGCTGGCAACACCATACATCGATTTCCATTGTAAACGGTACTCAGGAACTACTAGAAGGAGTTACCTTGGCTCTGTACAATGTATGGACGAAATGTTTCTCACCTGAAGATGTATATGTTAAAACTATTTAAAAAGGAATCATTCAAGATGGCGGCCGAGTTAGGGTACTTTATTCCCGATGACAAGTTTAGGGACGTTTTAAAACTCATTTTTGGGGTAGTATTTTATTCCTTACAGCAAGTTACTTCTATGGAGCAAAGACGTGAAGTATTATATAGGCTACAAATTTTCCCCGATTTTTGGGTAATTTTGCAAACCTTAAATGTGGGAAATTTTTTTCCGACATTTTAACATAAAAGTGACGGGTATCTATAATAAATCTCATCTTTATAGTTTTATGCAATTTTTTGTAAAATTAGGGGGCAACACCATGCATAGATTTTCGTAGAAAGTAATATTTACTAAGGAACCGACCGAATATTTTAAAAGGACCGTGTCTCTGTACAATATATGGACGAAATATATCTGTCGTCATGTAATATATACGTCAGAAGTATCAAAATGGAAAAATCCAAGATGGCCGCCGAGGTTGACTTTGAACAAAATTTGGAAGATTTTTTTATTTTGGTACATGGTAACCATGCAGCGAGTCCGCTTTTATGGGATGGCATTGAATCT